TTTTTTTTTTTTTTTTTAATAAAAAAATAGACCAAACACCAACAAAGCTTACACTCATAAAATTAAACACAATACATAATAACTTAGATAAACAATACACAACAATTAAATTATAGAACGATAAAAACACCATCACAACATAAGAAATCAGTTGAGACTCAGCTCTTCTTTAAGCACCGCAAGAAGTCCTTGGTGGCCTTGCAATTCTTCTTCTGTCATGGTTGAAGTATCCTCCTTTATCATTTCTCTGTACGTCTTCCATGACTCTATACGAACTAGCTTTTCCAAATCTTTTTGTTTCTTCAGATGAATTTCTTTAACCTGACCAATCTCAGCCAACAGACGTTCAACATCTGGACCGGTGCTTCCTCCTGCAGTTGCTTTTCCCTTTCTCTTCCCAGCCTTTGCTGCTTTTTGGCCAACTGGTCGACGTACATATCTGTCCTCACCATCGCCACTAGGCTCGACATCTTGGCCAGAGCCAGAAGTGTGATCTCCAGTATCATATATTCTAGCTTTCTTTCCTCCTCGAGATGTCTGAGATGCTCCATCAAATTTGGCATTATTTTTTAATACCTCAGAGCAATGAAGCCATTTAAAGCCACCTTTCTTTTTCCCCTCGCTATTCCACTCCATTAGTGCATTCTGCAAAACAATTGCATCATTTTCACCACTTCTTTGATCAGCCCAAAACCTGTTTATTGACGCATTAAATTTGAGACAGTCTCCATGGAAAGCATAAAAATGAGATTTTGCTGACTTCATGGTTCTCTGAATGAGGTTTCGTGCTTCACCAGCTTCATTCTAATACTGTATCATTCGCCTCCAAAAACCTTCGGACATTTGTTGAGCGCCAATGACCGGATCGCTTGAGATGGTACAGAAAGCTCGACATAGTAAAACATCCTCATCATGTGTCCACGGTATTCCTGTCGCTTTACCCCGTCTTTTAGGCTCAACTTCTTTGGCTTTTTTTGAATTCGGATCCGTATCGAGGCAAATGTTGTCGAGTCCTTCAACCTCCGGAATCATGGAAGGTCTTGGGACTTCAATAGGGCTACTAGAGAATCCAGTCAGCATAAAATTTCCTTGTTTATAAGGAATCCCAAATACATTCGGAATACCATATTGGGGCGGCATTGACCACATATACTGAGATTGATTCATGGTCATTAAATTTGATGATGGGGGAAAAGAAGGTTGCTTTGAAGTTTGTGAATTTGGATAAGAAGGAATTGGTGCAGGTACTTGAAAAGAAAAATTTTGAAACTAGGGTTGTAGTTGCATTCTAGGAAATTGAGAAATTTGCACATTTCGTGTGTACCGTGAATTTACGGAAGACGGAGTGTCATCCTCCGATGAGTTCGGCATATTTGGGTAGGATCTGTATGGATTATTATCCATTTCGTGTATAGGTTTTTTTTTTTTTTTTTTTTTTT